GGACTCAATCAAACAGGAGTTCATGATAAATCCACACAAGCACGCGACAATGCATTACTTTTTATGTTATTAAACTTAGCAAAAGGATAATAGCTAGATTAAATAAGCCAAGACTTTGTGAACTTGTTACATGATACAGTGATATCAGCAAGGAAACATTAGGGTTGTTGAGGAGCATCAGCTACTAACAATTTTTATTGTACTTTTTTGAGTAAATATTTTTTTAAATTGGGCAAATAATTTATGTTGTAATGTAATGTAAGGTGAAAAGACAAGCAAGATATATAAGCAGTTAAAAATTAAAAAAAAAAAAAAAAGAAACCAAAGAAGCTTATTTGTTCAAACGAAGACTTATAAAATTTACTGCAAAATTGTTGTTTATTGTGCTTTAATTACGGCATCATTACAAAATATGTGTTCATCTATAAGATAAATTCACGAAAAATATGTATTGGAGTAGATCTGAATTCATTATTCGGCCATATTTAACATTTGTGAAATCTACCAATTAGTGGGAACTTTCCAATCACAATAATATCAAATAATTGTTCTTTATTCTCTTGCCCCCCCACCCCCAATGTTATCCTTTGTGGATTGCAGGTGGGTTGTAAAAAGGTACTCCTCAAGATTCTTACTTTGGTCTCCTATCTATATTGACACTTCAAGAACTTAATTAATTACACATTGAACAATGAAAATCCGTTTTAGATTCTATGTTACCAACAAATCCCTCTACATGAATGGTCAACAAAACATGCATCCCTTCGTAATAAGAAAGCACCATTGATACTTGCATAAGGGAAACAAAATTGAGGAAAAGAGTTTTTAATTGGCCAAAGTATAAACATAACTACTTTTGAGATTATTTTAACACAATTTAACGTTGAGAAAATGCTATTATAATTTGGATATATACTTGCCTGACTAGTTCCATTTTCATTTGTTTCTAGTCTATACTCGTGCATTATCCAATCTGACTTTTGTCCATTTGGGGCTCGGCCTTTATAAAACACCAAGGTCTTTCTCATGCCAACCAAACTATGCCTAGAGTAAATAGCCTTATCTCTGCCTGTAGCTTTCCAGAATCCAGCTTTTGTAGCTCTATTAGTGCGAGTCCCAGTTGGATACTTCTTATCTTTATGGCTGAAGAAATACCAGTCACTTTGCTCCTCAGTTCCTATCTTACAAAGCTCTGCTCAAATTAATGAAAAAAAATATATATATTAGTATCTACTATCTAGCAATCGATTAATCAAATTTAATGAAAATAATGTTGATAAAGGAATGCTACCTTGAAGATCCCATGGCTCGATTTTGTAAAGATCAACATCTTTAATGACATCTAGATCAATTCTTTTCGAAGCTACCTTTTTTCTGAGGTAGTAATCGACAAGTTCTTCATCTGTGGGGTGGAATCTAAAACCTGGAGGAACATGTGAAAATGTATCCATGCTATCTCAAGAATGGTTGACGACCTGCATTTGAGAGCGCACACCATGTTATATTGGGGCTTTAATACATTGCTACATAAAAGATTGTTTCATATAGTATGGGTGAGGCAAAACAATATCTTCTACAGTTTCTATTCTTTATCAACGTTGCAAGATAAACCTTGTACAAAACAATAATGGTGCACAGCTGCACATGCAAACTCTTGAATGAAAAACAATATTATTTTTCATAGGGGACGATTTCCGTGAAGAAAGCGCTAATGAATACGGTAAAGCATCCAGTTTTAATTGCAAATTCTTGGAAAACACTTCTAGACAACAACATTGAAAAAAAATCCAATTACTTGTGTGTTTAAAAAGTTCAATAGGTCCACAACAATTTTCATGCTTATTCTTCAGAATGTTGGGGACCTAAATTACACAGCTTTCATTCCCCACTCTACCCAAATCAGGCAAGACCAAACCATGATTGTTATTGAATTGGATCACGACTTCGTCGTCTTTAAATAAACCAGCATATTTTTTGTAACCATTGAAGAATTTCATCAATCCTCATATTCAGTTTCTAATCTCCTCATTCATGTAATTTTTTTCATTCTATATCAGCCACTACAAATAGAGACGTATAGGTTATTCAAATTGATATCAACTCAGTTCTTTTTGCTTTGGTCTTCTTATTTTCTTGTGATGCCTCCAAAGACAAATGGAATCATAATAAGCATGAATTAGAAGCATGCTACCTCTATTTACTTAATGCTCTAGAGTAAACCACTTCAGTTTGCTTTTAGTTAGAGGCATTAAACGTGAAAGGAAAAAAGGTAAATGAAAGTGTTTTCCTGACTCAAAAAGAGAATGCTAGCTAAGAATAATGTTTAATCAAAGTTCAATACATCTCTTAAATTATAGAGGTCATGTACACATGAAAACAAATGCATAAAACAATTATGGCATATCACAAACATTTACTAAGTAACTGAATCGAGTATAATCAAGAATGATTTGTTACAATATGGATTACTGCTAACAATTTTACAAGTGGTTTAGACGATTCTAAATTACTTTATCATACACTTCTGCACCCTTGTTTGTACTATCTTGCTGTTGGAAAAAGTTTTTCTAAGTTAGAAATCAAAGTCCATTTACAAATAAGATAAGATCCAGCTAGAATAATCCCAGGATGAGGAAAAGCAAACAAAAGACAAAAAGAAAAGGAATTTGAGATTATTTTGCGGCTATTATTCATACAAAAATGTTTGAAATTGCAAAAGTAATGCTAAAGACGGGCACCCCATTAGAGACATGGACAAAATGGGAGTATAGGAGAAGAAGAAGAAGAAAATTGAGAAGGCATAAATGTAAATCTAGTTATGTATATCTATAGAATTACAATGATGTAGGTAAACAATCAAATCATATTTAGTCATTGCATACATATATGGATGAGATCGGATCGGACAAATTGTGTATTAGAGATTATCATTCTAAACAACAAATTTGCAGCAAAAGCATCCGTAGAAGTGAACACACTGCTCGAACCAGAAGAATGGTTATTAAAGATACACCATTAAGATCGAATGAAGCCAAACCAGAAGGCAAAAGAATTAAAAGAAGAAAACAGTCGGAATGTTAAAAAACCACCTTGAAGGAAAAACAAAAAAAAAAAAGAAAACACCACCTTGATGATCCGGCACAGTGTCCTCTGACCAACTGAAAATCCCTCCACCGATCCGGGTGAAGCCAATCTTGTTTCCACCAATCAGAGAAGAGATAGAGTAACTTTCGAAGCTCTCTCTTGTCACTCTCTTGCAACTTTTGAAGCCCACTGAAGCAGACAAAAAAAGAAGCCAAGAGAGAATGTTGGACAAAAGTTCTTCTCGGGAATTGAACTGAAACTAAAAGATATTTGTACCCAGAAAAGAAGTCGTTTAGTTGTCAAGAAAGATCAGATCCCGAGGGAAAACAGGGAGGAAAGGAAAAGTTGGAGGGATGGGAAGAGAGGGAAGGGATAGGGTTAAATAAGAAGTAAAGAAAAATGAATGAGCATACACACACACTCAATTAACTCATGCCATCTTTCTTATTCCTTGTCTCTCTTCCTGATATGTATTTTTTTTCTTAATCTCTATATGCATATATCACCTTATCTTGTCAGTGCGAGATTGATTGCTGGAAAAGCTTTGCACCAGAAAAGGAAGGCGGAGAAAATGGTGGCGGTAAAATACTCTACCGCCCTCCCACCAGCAACTGATAGACACCAGAAAAGTGAACGTAATGTTCTTTCATCTATGGAGGTGCCACAAGAGAGAGAGAGAGAGAGAGAGAGAGACCTTGATGGTGAACGTCAGAAAACTGACGGCATGGATCACTTGGGCTTCTCAAAGACACACCAGACGCAAAAGAATGTCTTACTTATTGAAATAAGAGAAATGATATGTGACCAAATTTTAGAACAAAATTTAGAGCACGTGGTAATATATTATTTAAAATTTTTATTAGACTCTAAATGGTATGACACTAAATAAAAAGTTCAAGTCAACTGTCATGTCTATTGAGTTCTAAATTTAATTCTAAATTTTAATCAGTGTAACATTATTGTTGAAATAATAATTACACTTGCAATGCTATGTGCAACAAATTTTGCCTTAAATCACTTGTAATCCTTGGATTATTGGGTTTTATTATTGATTTAATGGCTGTAATTAATTTGATACAAATTTTAATACACAAATTTAATACATAAAAAATTAATCTTATACATGTAACCTCACTCGTAATTAATCAAATAAACTATTATTTGAATTTAATTTATTAATTTTATTTGTTGAACTAATAATAGAGTATACTGTCAATTCAATAACAAAGAATGATTACGTCAATAAATCAAATTCAATAACATTACTCATTAATCAATATACGATATTTTTTTGGCGATCTAATCTGAGTAAAAAGTTATGCTTTCTATGAAAACCCCTCTAAATCCAATTTAACATCTTCCCAAAGAGGAAAAAAAAAAGAAAAAAAATAGTATTTATACTAATTGATTTATTTTACTTGTTAACTTAATTATTTATAATCATTCGATTGGCGGTGAACTCTAATATTTTTTAGAATCTATAACTAATCTAATAATTATGATAAATTAAATTAATAAATTATGTAAAACAAATTAAATTCCAAAAGCATTATTGACAAATAATCCTATACTCAGATTATTTCTATAAAAAAAATCCCATACTCAGCTATTTTGGGAGTTCTTAAGAAAAAAAAAAGGGATAATATCTGTAAGTTTGGACATCAAACTTACAGAATATGATTTCTCAAAAAAAAAAAAAAAAACTTACAGAATATGACTTGTTCTTCTGTTTTTTTTTTTTTTTTGAAGTTACGCGAAGTCTTTTTATTATTTTTTTATTTTGGGGGAGGAAAAAGGGAAAAAGAGACGGGGAGAGAAACTTAAACTCTTGATCTCAAAAAAATAAATTTTTTTTAGATATAGGGTAATATCATTATTCTTGATTTAAAGCCAACAACTCAATAATAAAAGGAAAAAGTAAAACCTTTATAAGACAGCAATATATATATAAAACCGGGAAATAGAAAAGTTCATACGCCTAGGAATAAAGATTTATCTTGACAATTATATAATAACCGGGAAATAGAAAAGTTCATACGCCTAGGAAAATTAAAACATGCCGGGATACTTTATATGAAAACAGAGAGTAAAATATCTCAAGTCTCTTTTTTTTTTTTTTTATTCATTTTATCAGACTATTCGGTATTCAAAACTCGCAACAAATTCTAACTAATCTGAATTTGAGTTGGATAGGACCACGAGAGTTACAAAGCTCTGCCAACCGAACGCAACTCTATTCTTAAATCTTATACCGAAGACTTTAGTTAAGGTAGAATAGTCCTTCACTGGTTGATATACGCGCGCTCGGTGGTATCTCAATTCTCTTCGAGAACCGCTGTTTTTTACTTAAATAATAATATAATAAAAAAGGGTTCTATCTTTTCAATTAAAGAAAATTAAAATATTACTGAAAAAGCTTTTTAAGGTTGGAGGGGTTAGAGGCAATAAAATAATAGTTGGAGTCCTCACCTGCAAGCTCACACCTCCTCCTATTGATTGGGTCTGCAATTTTATAATTTTTCTCGCTCTTCCCAACCAGTACGACGACTTGTGGAATCCACTAACCGACCCTACTGACTTAGACGTAACACTATTAAAATTTGACACGACACGATTAATTGATACGAATTAAACGAATTTGAGTGAAATTTTAAAGAGTTTGGATGATAAACGGATTGACACGCCAAACACGTTTAATAAACGGGTCATGTTCGGGTAAGACCTGTCAAGCTGTTTATCATACGTTTATCCGTTTAAATAAAATTAATATAATAATAAATTAATAATTATTTTAAAAAATTTACAAAAAAAAATAAATAAAGAAGTCAATAAAAAAAAGAAGTAAAGTAGTAGTTGAAAGACAAAAGAGAAGAGTTGGAAAGCACTTCAAAGACAAAGATAAACAAATGTCTTTTGTTTTTGTTCCACATTAAAAAATGAGAGGAGATGTGGAGGGTTGAATTGTCTATAAAGACAATGACCTCTTGCTTTTATTTTTAAAACCTTCAAATCTTATTTTTCAAAGACAAAGGAGAGGAGTTGTAGAACGCTTCAAAGACAAAAGAAAATCAATATTTTTTATTTTTGTCCCACATTGAAAAACGAGGGGAGATGGGGAGGGTGAGTTGCCTATAAAAGGCAATAACCTCTTGTTTTTTTTTTTTAAAAACCTTTAAATCTTATTTTTATGAGATTTGATTTAAAATTCCTCTTTTTTGAGTAAATGCAATTAGTAGTAAAAAAAAATGAAATATTAAAATTTGTTGATATAATTTTTTAAAAATTAAACGGATTAAACGAGTCGTATTCGTATTGAAATTTTTTATCCTTTTATTAAACGTGTTGTGTATGAGTTTATATATTTTTT